TTCCACACGTTCATGTCGACTCAGTTTGAGTTTCTGTGATTTGCTTATTTACGTCCTTGTTTTCAGTTGATTCTAAAACTGAGCTGCATTCGATTAATCGGCTGAATCGATGTTTAATCGTGGCCGTGCTGCATATAACTGTTGTTTCAGCATCATTTCAACGATTGTTTCCATGTGAGCCAGGAGCAAATTAACAACAGTTATATGTGATCAGGCTACAAACAGACGTCTTCCTATAACAAGCCTGTTGTCCGTGTTCCTACAGTTACTTGGATTGGATTTGGTTCAGTGCATTTGGGAAAGTTTTAACCCCGACCCTTGAAATCTGGGAAGACATGTAAAAAAAAAAAATACTACTGGAGTACATGAACCATCAGATGATGTAACATAAGTACATGTCCAATCTTTTCATCGTGTAGTTAAACCTACACTCGAAGCCTTTTTACGACATAAATAATCTTGTTTCATACATTTGGTGGCACAACAGTTCAACCTGGTTTGTTTTTTTTTTGTTTTGTTTATTCCACTGTTTTGGCGCAGGCGTCATGTATGCACATATATATATGGAGTGTTTACATTGTACTTTATTTTCTGTTACCTTATTGTTACTACCAATTATGTTTTTTATACTTTTGTATATGATGTTATATAAACATATAAGCTATCACAAAATCCCTTTTTGTATTTCCTTAAGAAATAAATGTCTAGTTTCTTTTTCACTGGATCTTTTTTGACTTCGACAACATTGAAATCATGTTAATGAGATCAAATGTTTTATTTTTGTAAAATTGTCAAACTTCCTGCTAAATGCTGCCATCTAGTGGTGAGTAGCAGCACAACCTAATTAACCACGTAGGCCTGCATTTTTACTCCTTTGATTGGTTCCACAAGTTGATGAATTTTTGTGGAGAAATTTTTAAACTCTTGTCAATATTGAATGAATTAATCGATATAAATCGGCCTTTTCTGGCAAGAAAATACAATAAAAGACCGTTTCATGTCAAAGTAAAAACTTTTCTACTACGTATGTCAGTTAGTTTAAAATATATAAAATGTAAATGGTTGTTTTCACAGTTGATACAAATAATGAAACTATTAATTTAGGTTTTACTGAGTAACTTTATACAAAAAAAAAAGCCTGGCTGTGTCAAACTTGCTTCGTAGTTCAGTCCTCACAGCAGCTCACTATGACTTTATTTATGTTTTTAACCTACACTGCTATAAATCCAGCCCAGCTACCAAAAAAAAGTGAAAAGGGTCCGGCTTCCGTCAAAGACATCATGTGGAAAATATGTGCATTCATTGAGGCTAAATGGAGATCACTTTAGTGCAGTAAATAGATTTAAGTGATTGTAGAGGCCCCTTTATCTGGAAGGTGCAGTCACTGGTACTACTGGCTATAACCATCAAAACAAAACACTCCAAGCAACTCAGAAAATTATTGACAAGCATAAATAACATGAGTTTACAAGTTGATGATGAGACCAGAATTAACCTTTTTAGCCATAAGACTAGACGCCATGTTCAACAGACACCAACCACTGCACACAAACCGTCCCCACTATGAAGCACGGCGGTGGCAGCATCATGCTTCTCAGCAGCAGGCCTTGGCGGGCTTATAAAGATAAGGAAGGTAATATGAGTGCAGCATTTGAAAGTACTGAAAAGACAACCGGATGGAATCTGAGCCATACAGTCGAAGATACACAGAAGTAGTGTAAAGACAATGAGGTGAATATTCTTAAGGGGCGGAGTCAGAGCCCAGACCTCAGTCCAGGTAAGAGTTTGTAGTTGGACTTGTTCAATCATAATCCTAGTGCCTCCTGACAGAACCTGAGCAGCTGTTTAAAGAAGAATGGAGTAAAGTTGCAGTGTCCAGATGTGTAAGGCTGATTGAGACCTGTTCACTCGGGGTTGATGCTGTAGTGATGGCCAAAGGTGCCTCTACTAAATCAAGTCAAATTAAACTGACAAGGATTTATTGTTGAAAAGCAAAAAAATAAAGCTTCTAAGAGGGGTAAATATATTTTATAGGTACTGTATGACCCTGAGCAGCACCTCACTCTCTCCACATGTTTGAAGGATCACAAGGTTTCCTGTAGAGATCCAGCAGTGAGTCATATACAGTAAATCAAATGGAGACCAGCAGGGTAACATGTCTGTTGGGTTCTGATTCGACGTTCCAGTCAAAAGTTCAAATCAAATGTTCGCCGCATGTTCTGACAAACAGCAAACACTGAGGTGGTGACAAGGCACCCTTTGTTTTCAGCAGGAGGGATTTAACTGGCAGATTAACAAGGAAAAGACTGAAGCAAAGAATAATTAAACTGCTATTGAGGTAAGAACCCTTTTAGACATTAGAAAAATGTTATTGGGCACTCTTTGTTTTTGGTGTTGCAGTAGGAGGTTAAGGCATCAACAAGGCCACACACCACTTTGTCTGTAGGCAGTCTGTAGCTCTCTGCTGTTTCCTGAGCTCCACAGTCACTGTCATTTCTTATCTCAGCAGCTGGGTGGAGTACAAGTCCAGCCAGCTCCTACAGTCTGCAGCCGATAAAGGGGGATTTCTCAGAAAGCTGAAGTGTTGAATGAACTTCTGTGGAGCAGCTCAGTCCTCCTGAAAGGCTCAAGTCATCTCAGTGCTGTTGGAAAGGTCAAAGCAGAGCAGTGTTCCTGACCACTGGCTGATCTTCTGACGGGGTCACATGGAACCAAAGTGACACTTGTTATTTTTCTGTCACTGAAGCCTAAATTCATTTATATTTCAGAGGGAGATTTTTTGGTGGCATCCTAAGTAGGTTACTGCGGTGCTGCTTCATCTTAATTGAAGCAGAAGAAGAGAAAAAATGGGGGACAGACGCGCTCCGGATGCGAAGGAGAACGGTCCACATTTGGCTCCAAACCCAGCGGACCAGGCTGAACGCGGCAGCAGCAGCATCCCAAACGGTGACGGCGGCTCTGCGCTCACGACGCGTCTGTACAAGAGGCGCTGGGCGGTCGTGTTCCTGTTCAGCGCGTACTCTCTGAGCAACGCGTACCAATGGATCCAATACGG